CATGGCTGGCTGGGGGATTCTGGGAGTTGAAGTCCACACATCTTAAAGTTGCCAAGGTTGAAAAACATTGCTCTAGTGGATCAGTGCTGAGAAAGGGAGTTGGACTAGGTGATCTATCAAGTGCGTTCTAACTCTACGATTCTAGGAAAATCAGAAAAGGCTGCAAAAAACATGTGACCTTTCCAGGTTTACTTTTTTTTTTTTTCCTTCCTCCCATTTTCTCTCTCTCTTTGTGGTGGTTGACAAAGATGTTTCCAAATCTGTCTTGAAGAACATTTCCATCAATAATATTTCTCTACTAAGTCTGATCTAAGACCTCTCCACTTTTCATGGGGATCAACTGTTCGCCCCACACCAGCAAAGTTGACAGAATAAGTATATTCTTGAAATAATCAGGAAGGTTATAATTAACTATGTGATGCGAAGTTATTGTTTTTATCTTTTTTTCACTGCTGTTCTGTTGTTGTTTTTTCCAACAGTCACAAATAACCCTGAAGAAGAAAAAACTTCCAGGGTCAGAGTGAACAAATAAATGCCTCCAGTTCCAAGGTAGAGCTCCAGAGGTGCCATCCCCACCATACTCACGGCCTCACTGTTCAGCCAGCTTGGCAGCACTTCCACAGAAAAAGAGAGCAATGCCCTTTAATCTGTGTACCTTTCGTAATGCTTATTTATGGTCTAGTCAGATTTTTGTGTGTTCTCTGTTTAAAGTGCCACTGAAATTTTATTGGGCCTTTCTGACATTTCCCTGAACTATGTGATTTCTCAGTGTTCTAAAATCCCTGGGAACAGAAGCGTCACTCTTACGTTATTATGAGCTGTATATAGTTCCAGATCTATTGAAGAGAAAGAAGACGTGGGAATTCTTAAGGCAGTTCTAGTTCCAGGGTGGAAAAATTGCATATTTCCAAGTGGTGCCCAACTCCAACCCCCAGCCCCCCCTGGTCTAGCTGGATGAGACTGTGGGTAGATACTGCACAACTTTTGGGTTACGGAGTAGTTTTATTCTAATTGATTTACCCTTATACTTTTATGCTCCATTTCCTTAAAATTTGGGATCTTACCCCACTGCAGAGTGAGATCCTTAGGCTTGGCTCTGCCAACCAGGCATGGAGGATGGCACGGCCCAGGGGGAACAGCTGAGGTCTGAACAGTGAGTACATCAGATGCCTAAAAAAGGATGCACACATTATTTACTGATTTACTTAAAGCGTTTAAATAGCCACCCAACCTGACAAACGTGACTCTGGGAAGCATATAAAAACAAGTGAACAAAAATGCCCGTACCCCAAAGCAAAGAAAACTAAAACAAATAAAAGCAATTAACTGGCAAACAGAGGCTCAGATTCCTTACATTCCACTATATTAGCTTGTACGTATGAAACTCCCCACATGCTGCTCCAAAATTCTAACTGTAGCCCAGCCTTAAGAAGGACAATGTGCAACTGCACATTACAAATAGAAAACAAAAACTCGGCTTGGATGGCAATAGTTCTGCAACCTACACTTTTGCATCTATGTCTTAAATCAAAGAGGGACGGTTCAATTTGCAATCAGGCTCCACATATTTGATTTATTGCCTCTTACAGCCAAGGGGAGTGTGGCCCGTGATGTCCTAATGCAATGAAAGAGGTAAGGTAAAAAAAAAAAAAAAAAAGGCTGATTATGGAGGGTTGGGATGAGGAGGGAGTGAGGTTAAAGGGGAAATGAGAACATCAAGACTTGTAAGAAAAATCAGCCTCATTTTTTAAGAGGTGGGTTTTTGTGATACTGATCGAGTAGGCAGGGCTGAAATTTTCTGATTCTCTTTTTCTCTTTGTTTGGGGGAGGGTTAAGGAGGGAAGGAGGAAGTCATTGCTTCCTTTGAAAGACAAAGGCAAAGACTGCCTTAAACCTCTGCAAGGCAAATTTCAGGCACCCATTCCATTCCTTAAAATCTCCCAAAGCCTAAAAAATGGGGCCAGTTTTTTCTCATTGGGGCATGTAAGGGCCACTTTGCCCCTTAAAACTGTCTTTAACAATGCCCCCCTCCCCCCAAATGGGTCAGAAATTTTTGGCACTACCCGCTCTGGTAATATTGCTGACTATGCCCACTGCAGCCCTTGGCAGGTCACAGGGTTGCCTCCAAGCCCAAAAGGGTTCTTCATCCTTGTTTTAAAGGGGAGGGGAGGTCCCAAAATCAGGCAGAATTTTCTCCCCATCCCCTTTCAGAACACTATATATCCAGCCCTGCTTTAGATGATCTGATCAATACTGTTTCCTTATGAGGTTTTCAAAAACATGCAGATTTTGAAACCACAGCCAGTCAGAGATATGAAGATCCAAGAAAAAAACAAGTGGAAAGAATACGAATGTATGAAAAAACATGTATGAAAAAATTCTGGAAAGAAACAGATATGGTTTTCTTCACATTTTCCATCATTTCTACTATTTTTTAACCAGGCCTATGCCCAGAAAAAAACAAATCTTTTACCTCCCACAAAGATTTTAGAACGATTAATCTATTAAGCGTTGAAAGTGCATGATGGAAAAAATCTGAATTCTGCTAGATCTTCATGGGGACTGGCTGGGAAATCCATTTATGTGGCCTTGAATTCCATCATCTTCCCATGTCTAAGGGGTGCCAATAAGGACGAAACTGGTCACATGGTCAGTGTAATTGAAACCAAAATAAATAAAGCAGGCATTGCTCACCATTCAGCTAACAAAAGCCGAAAACATGCTGTTTTTTAAAAAATTAAAACATGAAAACAAATGTTCAAAATAATGAATTCTAGGGCAAATGTCAAATTCTGTATTTTTTTTTTTCAACTTCCTTTTAGGAGTTGTGGAAGACATCTGCTTCTCGGCCTTTCGGCTAAGATCAAGTGTAGTACCTGCTCTTATCAGTTTCAAGAGATATTTTTTTCTCACCTGACTTTGTCCCCCTCTACCAACACATGAAACCTTCAGTCTGTAGGAAGTACCAGGCTTGAGATGGGTACATACATGTTCTCTCATGGGACCTTTATAGGCGATTTCCCATTTGCTGCCTATAAGGAAAAGAAAGATCTGTTTACAACCCATTCCTGAGGGAATGCAAGAAGAAGAAATCCTTCTGCAGCATCACAGAAGAGACATCTGAATATTCGAACACTACAAAAACTTGATCCTGGCTGTTCTCTCTCTTACTATGTCTCCTTTTCTTCAACCTCTGAAAAGACATGAGCTGGAGAAGATGACCCCTCTTCTCAGGGGAGAAACGGCCAATCCCTCGAGTTACAAGAATCTGCAGTAATGTGTTTTTTATAAGTGCTTAAGGCAGACACAATGAAATCAATGGGGCATAATAATTACCATTAACCTGTCCCAATTATTTTAATGAATCAGTTCAAAGCATGATTGATTCCATTTTTAAGAAATATGCAGAGAAATGAAATATTCAGGTGCTTACCAGCAGAGGCTTCTGAAATTTCTAAGATATACGTAGAAATATCTGTTCCTCCAGTATCTTTTGGTGGATCTAATTTAAGAAGAAAAGCAGCAACAGTTTAGAACTGAAAGGAAATCAAAGTTTTAAATCAAGGACAATTAGCTTCAAGGGAATAATACACTGCTTGGGCTGAAAAATATTTTAAGGAAGGTAGTCCACAACAGTCACTGTATCTGTTATCAAAATAAAGAGCCAAGCTCAGAAAGAAAGGCTCAGAGTTGAACAGAATTAATTTAACTCCCATCTACACAAAGCAGTTGCACTGCCTTTTATTGTTAAATCTCAGATTCATTCTGAACACATTGCACTGTCTGGCCATTTGCTACAGAACCAGGAAAAATGCAGTGTGAGTGCAGTCAATTCATTTTATACAGCTAAGGAGTGGGGAGGGGGGCAGAGGAGGACAAAAGAGAGCTGCAACAAAGGAATAGTTTTCTTACCCCAAGTAACTTTCACATTATGGGAATGGATCTTTCCCTTTACAGCTGGTTTACTAGGAGGTCCAGGTTTGTCAGGGCTGGTACTGTACTCCACAACTTCACTAGGGCCACTTTTTCCTTCAGTGTTGTGAGCAAACAACTACCCCGTTGCAAAAGAGAACAAACATCAGTTAAAAATCTGTAAACGGTTTTTTGTTTTTTAAAAATCAGAACCTTTCATATGGGGAAAGAAGATTCAGAACTCTTTCTCCACTAGACCATCCATATAGTCAATTTCTATACTGACCTACCAGGTGCCACAACAAAGCCTAAACACCCTCTTCACTTGGAGCAAGACACAATGACACTGATAAGACATCCACATTTAGGATAACCTCCCTCTCTGAGGGCAGAAGTCCATAACAGGTGAAAACGGTTTTGCAGCTGAGCACAAAGTACCCCAGGAAGGGATGTCATAGGAGACTTGCAGGAACTGGTGATGAAAGGGGAGGTTGGCAGAAAGACCTGAGAATCTTCATGCTTTTCCAGTCAATGAACAAAGTATCTTGCAAGCTAACAGAAGATAGCTGAAGCTTGGGGAGCTTCAAGAGGTTCACAGGTGGGTCATAAGTCTATGACAGAATACCAGCTTTGCATAAAGAAGGTCTCAGATTCAATCCTCAGCATCTCGAGATAGAAATGAAAAACTGCCTAGAAAGTTGCTGCTAGTCAGGCTCCCCAATATTGGGCAAGATGGAACAAGGGTAAGACTTGATCAAATTGCTTCCAAGGTCTTTAATGGAAGTCTTTAAACCTTTCCTAGAGCCTTGAAGAGGTCGCCCATTTCAGCTATTTTGTAGGAACAATTCACTGGTCAGCAGCTTTTCAGGGCAGAATTTGAAGTTTCTTAGCATGTGGATGTATTCATTGCATGGATTTGGTACCTACCCTAAATTTATAGGAAGTGTTTCTTCTAAGGTCACTTAAAGTGCAAGAAAGTTCATCTCCATTGTACCCTGCTTGGAAGCCATAATCCTGCATAAAGAAAAAAATACGCACAGTATTCACATTTGTGTTACATTGCATACCAGAATATTAAATAGGCATTCCTTAGTAAACTATCTATCTTATAGTCAAGGATTATATGATGTATAAATTCATGACAATTGTAATTAAAAAAAAAACAAACTCATACCAGTCCCAGTAATTATTCAGAATGGATTTGTGTTTCCACAGACAGAATCTGCATTCTTTTTTTTTTTCAAATTTTATTTAATAATTAAAAGGGGAAAAATGATAAAACACCTAAACATATTTTTAAAAATACACAATTAACAAAACAGTCTTTAAACTTAAAAAAGAAAACAAAAAGAAAAGAATTAGAAAAAACCCAGCCTCAAACAAAGATAGGGGGGAAAAACTTTATATATACTTATCAATAGTCACTGGTTTATTAATAAGTACAGCACTATAATATAATACAAAATATTATTATAAAATATCACAAAAGCTCTGCCATAGTAATACAAATTGATTCATCCTTTGATTAGTAGAAAATATTGCCTCTTCCAAAACAGATAGATCACATTTCCGAAAGCAATTCCTTAACCTCTGGAATAATATCTGTTTTCCAATATCTGAATGTGTTTCTTTTAGCCATCCCTTGTGCTCGATAAGCATTATTCCTGATAAAGTCAGACTCCAAAGCTTCAGTTTGTATAAATCTCTCACAGAACAAGTTAATCCATAATATTGTTCGTTTGGTTTTGGACTGTGTAAGATGTGTAAGGACAGCCCTTAGGGCTTTGTTGACCCTAGTTTACAGCATACTATGGCTTGTGCAGGAAACCATGGCTTAGTTCAGTGTATGATCCCAACTGATGATCAAAGGCAGAACACCATTTGATTTCAGCTAATCAACTGTACAGATACAGTAAGCCTTCAATTTAAGGGATTCCTATTTGGCAGACTGGATGCCAAAGTTTCTGTTTGGACATCTCTTCAAGGTAATGGACAAATCCTCTGAATGTAAGTAGTCCAGACAAGACACTTATATTTACATTAAACTACATGACATCATTTGCATCACATCATCGTTACGCAAATGGCATAGATCTCTCCAAATAAGGCACTTTTATATTTAATGGACCTTTGGGGGTGACAAATATTCCCTTCTCTCAAATAGTTTGTTCAATGGGGTGTTTAACTGCAGTGAAAGAAATGAGGTAGCCTCAGTTTGGAAGGAGCTCAATCAATTTCCCTACATGTCACATGCAACCCCCCCCCCAATTCTATCCTTGAGGTCTCCAGCTGGAAGGGAAAGGTTTACCCCTGCAACAACAGACAAATGTGCAAGTCACCATGTTACAAAACTGCTTCATGGCAACTGCAGTTTATGTTTAATCAGCCTTCCAAAGGCTGTTTACTAGTGTTGTATACTGCCACAGATCTGAAGAGGAAAAGATGCTGGGGGGGTGCGTGTGCTCACATAGCACTTCTCGGCAACTCCTCTAAGCTGCAACACAATCCCAGAAAAATAAACCTTTACGGAGCTTTCAGTACATGCTATATGTACACCCATGTGCGCTCCAAAGCACTTTTCTCTCTCTGAATCCAAAGCCCTACATGACTCTACTGTTTACTACCACTGCTTCTGCCCCTTCTTCTGAGGGGAAGACCTTTGAGTAGCAACAATTTGATGTTAAATTACTCCCAGAAGGGTTCACTGACTACCAGATCCACCGGGACGGGTGAATGGCACAGAACGCAATTATTCACTAGGCAACACTCTAATCCACACCAGAGGGCAGCTGCTCCTTTCAAAGTCTTCTCCCTACTCTAAACTCAAGAATCTGGATTAAAAAAATACTTACAGAACCTTCTTCTTCCATTTCTAAAATGTACGTCAGAGAGTCATCTGAAGATATGCCATTTGGAGGCCCCCATTTTAGTGACAACCATGTCACTCCTGCTTTAGTTAGCTGGGGTGGTAGGGGGGGCGGTGGGACAATTCCTATTGTGAAACATGCCAACGTCTCGCCAAACCCACTGGGGAGGACAAAAATCACAGGGTTAGAAAAGAAGTTGAGCCATAGAAACCTTTATGGAAATGGTGAACTTACAAGGCCCCATTTTTACCTCATGCCAATGTCATTTTTGGCTGCCAGTCTGAATGTGTATTTGGTGGAGGGGGACAGCTTGGTGACTTTATGCTGCTTTAGATGACCGTAGTAGCATTCCTTGAATGCTCCGTTCCTCCCCTTTCCAAAGAAATTAAAATTAAGTCAGAAAGTAGACTAAAATACAGTTCTCAAAGATCCAGTTAACTCTGATGCCTGAGCTAGACTCTTTCATATTTGCAGGTGGGAGGCTTACAGGACAGAGCTTGCCCCTTCCACCACTTCCTCCTCCTCCTCATTTTCACACAGAAAAGCCAGTAGGCTAAAAGCTAGGAGCAAAGGCCTCTCTTGAGGTAGAATTGGAGTAGTTGTGGGACAGAGAAACATGCCATCATCTGAGTACATCAGGGAGACCAGCTTCAGACCAATGATTCTCTTAGTTCAAAATCTAGAATCAAACTTTGTCCAATCCAAGATTCCCTACCCTAAACCTAATTTTAATCGGAACATGAAAGGCAGTATTGCTCTTCCACCTGCTTATTGTTATTGTTCCCCAGTAATACTGGTGGTTCAGCAGTAACACAGATACAAAGCAAGATTGTGAGATCTTGCGGTCACTGTAGCAACAATTCTGGTGGCAAACATGTTAAGATTAGGGAACAAGGGACCTTAACATCCTATGATCGCATATAATTTCTCCTTTTAATGTAATTATTTTATAATGCACTTTCAGGGTAAAGCCTTTGAAAGACAGTTTACAAAGTAAAACTCAGAAAACTGGATCTAAAAGACCTTTTTTTAAAATAGCAATGTAAGCAACAGTTCTGGTTATAAAACAATTCTGGTGCTAATCTTCTGGGGTAAGATTAACACCAGAATTCTTTTTTTAAAAAATTTGTATTTATTAGAAATCCACAGCCAGGGATACATCATATATTTCATAGGACACAAGACTGGCTTTCTCTTAAGGCTGACACAGGTATTATAAATTAATCTTGGCAGGGATCAAATGGGGCAGCGTTATAACGAAGTTATTATTGATTAATTCTGCCCATGCTCCTTTACAATTCTGAAACATTTATGAAATTCATACAAGACCATACATTTTTAACTTCCACCTGAAATCTTAACAAATCCTAGCTTAAACTACCAATATCTCTTTCTTGCATTCCAGAGAAGCCAATCTACTTCCCAGGACTGGCTGGAAGATAAGCAGGCATTTTCCTTCCAGAGCTGCAAGTATTCAATCATCACTTAATGTTTGCATTAAAGAATGTCAGTTTTACACAAATGCAGTCCAGTGTCTTGATCAGTGTACCAGAATTACAATGACTTATAATAATTCATTAAACACAAGAAACATCCCCCACCCCATTCAAAAAGGTAGCTGGTTTTTTTGGCCCCATTGCCATTGGGGGACTGGGAAGGGGAAAAAAAAAAAGAGGGTAGCTTTACTTGGCTAGGTTATTAAAGAGGAAATTTCTACCTCCCTACTTTAACCATTTCCAATTCTTCATTCAGACTGGAAGTACATGAAATACACCCCCATTCTTCAGATACATAATTAAATACATTGAGCTTTCATTCTGCAAGGGGGTGTCTGCTGGGGGGAGGTAAGTGACAAAACATGCACCACAATGTTGTGATTAAAACCCTGCCCCTCTTGTACTTGTGATGTAATACCGCCTGCAAGCAGTAAGAGGTGGAGCTGCAACATGACATCATGATGCATGTTTTCTCACTCTGACAAAATCACAGCTTACTGCCAACACCTTTGGCCAGCTGTGATGCTTGCCCCTGGTTCCCATTAGAAATGCTGTCGCCTGTGTCTTCCTCACTATCCTAAAGATGCCATGCAATGTTCACAGCTTAATGTCTTACATGGCGCTTGGTTTACTAATATGTCTTGAAGGACATCCATACATGCATTGTCATCTGCTGACTTAGCTAAAACCCCTCCTCCGTTGTTCTGAGCCAAGATGGAAAAGGTGCAACTTCCAGCTGATCATCATGAAGCCTTGGTGGAATTCTTATTCGACCAACCTCACTATAGAGTAAAGTGGATCAACATAGGTTTTACTTTTACTTACTATAATGCTTTAGTACACTATATCCTCATGAAGCAGCACACCAACAACCTCTATCATCTTTATTTCCAAGAATGCTTCTGGGCCCTACATCCCCTGCTTGCCCAGTGCTTTCTACAAAAGTGTGTGCAAATTAAGTTAAGTGCATTCAAAGTAAGTTGTCAGTTGGTAGGGAACACTATTACAGTGGAGGAAAAATCCAGATTTCTTCTGAAAATTCAGTTATGACAAACATGGAGGTCAGGATCCATCCCTGGCTTTGCTCTTACCTTCCACTGTAAAGTCAGGCTGTTTTTGGTTTTGTTGACTACTTTCGGTGCAGCTGGAGGATCCGGTTCACAACTCTCTGTAGTAAAACTCACCAGCTCTGAAACAGATTCCTTTGTGGAATGACCTGAGGCCAAAACTCTGCATGAAGTCAATATAGATATCGATATTAAAGCAAAACCTTAGTCTTATCCTTGTTTTCTAAATTCTTCTTTAATCCCTTATTATATTTGTAATGTCATGCTGTTTGTTTTTAAAGTTATTATAAACTGGTTTGAGATGGGGAAATTTTTTGAAGGTACCATGTAAAGTGTTCAATAAGAATAAATGAATAGGCCAAATGTAGAGTGAAACAAAATAAACCAAGCACATTCCCAACATACAGTGACATTGAGATCTGAAAAACCAGAACATGGTTAACCATAAGGCTCTAAGATACAGTTATTTAAGGAACCTCATTTGGCATACATAGTCCTCTTATTGTAGATTCCTTTCTCTAAAAAAGAATCCTTTAAAAAATGCAAAGTCCTTTTATGCTGAAGCTTATAACACCTGCTAAGAACTGATTAAGAAAAAAAAATACTAAATTTCGTAAACTATGAGACAATGTACATAGATGTACGTTTTATAAATCAGAGCTACACTGATATTGAATTTCTGATCAATTCTAGCCATATAGTTTGTCAATATTTTAATTCTTAAGTTTTATTACATTTTAACAGACTGTATTATATCACTTAGCTAGTAGTACCACTGCAATTTTATTCACAGAACTTAGAACTGTAAATGGTGTTACTTTTGTAATATTAAGTTTCATTTACTGCTGAAATGGCTGGAATCCTTGTAACTATCCTTTTACATCATCTTAGGTTGGTCTATGACTACAATGACCATATTTTCTTGGAAAAAATAAAAGACAAACTTGAAAAAGAGCCAAATCTAAAAGAGGTTTGTAAGGATAACATTTTTAAATTATTTATTTATTTATTATTAAATTTGTATGCCACTGATCTCCCCCCAACAGGTGACTCTGGGTGGCTCACAGTTAAACTCAGAAACTCCATCAATTAAAAATCCCCCATAAATAATTAAAATAAATAATCCATTAAAAATCAAATCTAAACAACAAACCCTGTACATAAAAACGAAAAACATTCAAGAAAATTGTTTATAACTTTGCTTTAGAGGAAAATTCAATAGCAAAACCAAGAAAAACTTTACAGAAACGCATAGTCTAATAAAATTATCTAAAATCAAACAGTATATGTACATTTATTTTAAAAAGACAATTCGATTTCCATATTTTTCACATGAATGTGAAAAACCGGGCATTAAGTGGTACAATTTGTATGGTAAAAGTTAAATAACCAAAATAAAGGACAAAGGGACTTTTGGAAAAAGAAAGAAATCTGAAGGTCAGGTTTCTTTTTATGTTTAAAAAAAACCTTTTTTTTACTTATTCTTTTTATAACTACTACAGGGCCTAATCAAGGCAGTGACAATGGGGTCTGTGGCCAGTTCAAAATGTTCCCTTTTAGCAACCTACTGGATATACCCTACCAGCTTTGCAGTATTGTACAATGTAATATGAGACGTACAAGTTTCAGTACGAAGAAAGGCTTATCTTGGCCTCAACAGCTACTCTCCCATGATCTTCCACGCACTCATAAAGAATACAGAGGCTTGGAACAGAGGGGTGAAGGATGAAGAGACGTTTCTGCTCTTACTGAAGCAAGCTTGAAGACTAACGCTAACCCTTGCCATCTTTTATCTTTATGTTTTATTGATTTTATTGTATTGTTTTTGATTGTTGTGAACCACCCAGAGTCATTGAGAGTTGAGAGGCATACAAGTTTTTTTTATCATCATCATCATCATCATCATCATCATCATCATCAGCAGCAGCAGCAGCAGCAGCAGCAGCAGCAGCAGCAGCAAACTCTTGTCTAACCACAATCAAGAGCAGAAATATTCTTTCCCAAATAGCTCTTTTGTATTGGCCAGAAATGCAAAGTTTTGTATCAGTGTTATGCATGCATCTTGGATCGGAGATTTTCAGATACAGGTAGTCCTCATTTTAGTGATCACAACTGGGATCAGCAACTCAGTTGTTAAGCGAAGCAGTCATTAAGTAAAACTGTGCCTGTGCTTAAGATCTTACTTCAGCTTTCCTTTGCTTTACAGATCGTAAATGCAAGGATTGGTTGCAAAGTTACTTTTTCATCACTGTTGTAACTGTGAACGATCGCTAAATGAGGCAGTTGCTAAATGAGGACTACCTGTAATTTTACTGAAAACAGAAGAAACTGGAGGCCATCTGAATATTCATCTGTCTTCAGAAGAGTCCCACCGCCCCAGATTCCTCCCTTGCTCATGCTCTACTCCCCATTCCCAGGACCAAAATACCTACAGTAAACCTCCAATGCCCTTTATAGATTCATATTACTGACAAAATCCAACCTTCCCCAACAAGGCCATAAGAGGGTTTAAAAACAAAAAAACAAAAAAACCAGCCCTCTACTGACACTAGTGTAATTTCCATGCCTCCTGCAGCCCTTGATGGAAGGCCTTCCCCTCCCGCCCAAAAACCTCAAATTTAAAAGGTTGTGGTTTTTGTTTTATCATCTTGATATTGGTAAATATTTGTTTTCCAAGCCTACCTGACATGATAATCAGTTGCTGGTCTGAGTTCATGTAGAGTAAAAGTTACATCCTCACCACTATAGGGAAAAAAAATACTGTTAGATCGTAACAAATAGGCATTTTAACAATAATGACCTATAAATCCCTCTGCCTTTTGCACAGAAGGGAAAATCCTAATAAAAGCATGCTCACAATAGCAAATCAGCTAGCACCCAGCTAGCAAATGCAGCATGCAGGACTATGTATCAGGAAGGATGAAACAATATAAAACTTAGGTGCGCAAGCCAACCTCAGAATTTGGTTCTAGGATTTGGCTCTCAACGTCCAACAACAGAAACAAATATAAACTCACTTTTAAAATTATTTCCATGGAAACAAAGCTGGAAAACAATCCTGATTGATGCTGGCAATCAAGTTGTCAGCTAAGACAAGCTATGCCATTAAATTATGAAAATGGACTTACGTGTAAACCGATTTAAATTTTCCATTTTTACCGCTATTCGAGACGGCTACTTCAAAAGTGAACGCTTCGGGAGTGAGACTATGCATTTCTTCATTCTGGGACGCAACTGGAGCATTCCAAGAAATAACTGCTGACCGCGCCTGTATATCCGAGACCTGTGAAAACCAAGGGAAGATGGTCACCATTTACAATACAGACACGTGGTGTATAGTCATCCACAGGTTTCTGCTGCTTTCCCCAAAATGATAAAAGCAACATTGTGCCATTACCTCTGCCCCAAATGGATGGGCGTGGAGCATCATGAAGGTACAACAGGGCAGGGCTGGCACCACATGGCATGATGCTTTCACCAGACTGATTCTTTGGACCCATCCTGTGGATGTCCCTGGTGTTGTGTAATCTCCCTTCCTCACCCTTCCCTACCTGAACTTAGGGGCTGGGTCAGTTCCATTTTCCCTCCACTTCTTATTGTTCTTTAAACAACGAACAATCTTGGATTAACTTGTCTTTATAATTCAATTAAAGAGACGACAGACATGCTTAACTAGCAATATTAAACACTGAGCTGAAAACCAAATTTGGTATCACTTTAAATCCTTTCTATTTTCTTTTGCTTTGAGAACATAAGATAATGGCCCAACATATTTATCAGTTATTGCAACTTACGGTAGGCTTATTGAAGCTTAAGAGCTCTTCAGATTTTCTAGACTCTGTATCAGATTCTAGGAGGAAAACACACAACAATTCATTAGGTGAAGGGGAAATTGAGCTAAAATCCCCAGTAAAATGTTTTTTAACTGCAGCATCAACAGATAAAGTTATTACAAGAAGCAAAGCACATGCTATGCAAAGTTCACTGGCCTTACTTGTTTTGACCACTGAATCTGCTAAGTTTGCAAGTCTGCTCAGAAGGAAGAGAACAGCACAGACTTCCTTTTATTGTGCCCTATGCCATCTAGAATTGTAGATATCTCGCATGACCATTGGCCAATTTAAAATTCTACTATTTAAAATCTGAACAGCAAGTTCTCCTTCACTTTGGAAACACAGTTTAGAATATTTTTTTCTTTCATTAGAAAACTTTCCTAGAGGGGAAAAAAGACTGTTTTTGAGATTAAACACATACCAAATGATAAGCAAACTTTCCTCAAAGGATGGCTGTTCCCTGTGCTGGGAGATACTTGGGAATGTTTTGAAGCATTTGTTAATTAAGATTAAAGCTTCGGCAAGGAATGCTTAGATGACCGAAAAGGAGAAAGATACATGCATGTTTCATGTTTTGAGATAATTTTATGTTTGCTTTTCTGCTTAGGCATTCACAGCTCAAAGTTCAGAATGCTAATTAATGCAAAGGGCTGAATAAGCCAACAAAGAAACCCATGATTACTGATGTTCCTTTCTGACTGTGGATGGCAGACCTCTTCCTTTTTCACTGGAGAACTGGCTGTTTGTAGGGCAGTCAACAAGGCCAAATTATATTATGCTGATGATTTGGGCCCAGAGATCTGCAGTGTCCCACTTAATAATAGTACCTTCACTTCTATGCTGTCACAACATGGTAGTTTAACCCAGCAGTGAAGCATTTCATATCCTGAACAGCTCCATCTCCCAGTTGATGGGAAGTCAACTGTGCTTGCTGTACAGGCTGCACAGAGGTTTAGTGTACTCTACAGAACTTATGAGCTGCTATTTGAGAACAGATAAAAATGCATGCTTTCATTACCCTGTGGTCATGTCCAAAAACATACAAGTTATTGATTGAGAGATGCATCTATATATTCTGGCTTGGATCCTAATGCAACAGGAAAGCACTTTTGCTCACATGAGACAGTTTCTCCTCCTTCTGCATGCTATGTGAAAGTCCTGTGATAAACTGGAGCAGCTACTCAGCAGGAAGAAAGGGCAGTATTAAGAAAGGATGGGTGGAAAACGTCCTGCTGCCCACGGACATCTGTTCGTGGTCCTTGAGATAAAAAGCCTCTGTTCTTCAAGACACACAATTCTTTGACAACACCCTTTTGTGAACCTCTCTTTACAAATTGCCAAGTGGCAAGGGACTGCATTTGAGAATGGATCACTGGGGTCCAACTGAACACTTGTTACTGGCTACATACAAACACATGTAAAAGTTGAAGAGCAAATCCAGCAATCTTAGCCTTGTCTCCTAATTCCAGGTCTCCAGTTGCCATTATGAGGCTTCAGTGCAATTAAATTTCCCCTGAGAGAGGGGAAATATCTGTCACTAGGAAAATATTATCTAGTTGACAAAGGTGGCGGTGCTCGGTCATGGTAACACCTGGCCAGCCTCAGGGCTTTGATGGGGACCATCTAGGAAGCTGAAAAAACATCCTGGAAAAAGGCATCAGAAAATCCCTTTTGCATCACGCTAGGAAAATGCGTGGAGGCGTCAATGTAAGACAGCAGGAATCAAGGCTGTCTGGAAAGCAAATCTACCTTTTTAGTTGGCGAGGCAAACAGAAGAGAAGAGTGAGGAGGAAAGCAGTCGTCAGAGAGAACAGAAAGTGGCCTGTAGGCGTAGTGCAGCTCTTTAGGGGGGCACATGTCTTTGCCTCAAGCTGGAGTACACAATGGGATGGCCACAGAGGCACCAATGGGCCTTCAGATACTCCACTGATGCTTGCCAGGAAAACAGAAATCCAACCACCCCTACTACCAAAATCATTTGGGACAATGTTTTCAAGAAGCCTTCTGTATCTACTTTTTAAACCCTAAAGGAAAATAAGAGTTCTTTCCTGGTTCCATAGGAATACTTCCCATTTCATGTATTTTCTCATGGAGGAAACAGATTCGATTTTACAAATTCATATGCAATCGACTCCCAGACAGTCTGGACAGCTTACATGCAGTTTATTAACGCAGGCATCGGTTTCCCCTAAAAAAAACAACAAACTTACGTACCTCCCATTCCTGAATCAGCTGAAGGGATGGGGCTTCCCCGGGTTTTTCCTATATGCTTCTGTTTTATTTGCCCTATGTTCCCTTGCTGCCCCTTTCCGTAGCCATTCTGAACATTGGTGCTGGAGGAGCTGTTAGCTTTGTGAGGTGAGGAAGGAGGGCTGTTCGCCTTGTTATTGGTATGTCCGCTCGCCTGCCGGTCTTTTAGCCTCTTCTTCAAATGTTCCTGCATTTTGAGAGTCCTTTCATCTCGCTGGACAAAATTTGCTCTGCCATGGGAACGGGACTCTAAAGGGGCAAAGGCAAAAAGAACCCATTAGATGGAACACAACTGTAAGAGTTGTGTTCAAAGGCCTTCAAGACTTAGACAGACACTGGATCACATATATCTCTCTTAACTGGATATGGTTCACATAGCTAACAACCAGGCTTATTTTTGCAACTGCACAAACTGAGTATATATATGTAGGCATCTATGTAAGAGAAAGAGATTGTGTACAAGCACATACATACAGGGTAGGAAGGACATTTATAAATACTAATGTCATATTATATAATCAACAGACATGGCTGCAAGATTATCTTAGGGAAATGCTAGTACTGTAAACAAGGAACTTTAACTTCCTTTTCTTAATTGCAATTCACAAGCCGCTGCTGTGGGTCATCTTTCCCTTCACAGGAAAAACTCCATAGCAGTAAGTGAAGCCTGCTTTTATAGAAATCAGCTTACGCGTGCTGCAATTTAGAAGATTTTGTAAGCCAGCTAGATGATTGTGGGCCAAGTGCTTTCTCTCAGCCCAACCCACCTCACAGGATTGTTGCTATAGGGAAAGCAGAAGGAGGAAGCAATTATCTATGCCACCTTGAGCTGTACAAAATGAAGGCAGGAGGGAGGGAGGGATAATCTTTATTACTTTCTTAAGTACTTGATTCCTTTGTTCTTTTCTCCCTTCCAAAAAGTAAAGTTACATCTAACACAGTTGCTCTAAATTTACATTGGTGAGAGAAAGTTCGTTAACTCTTTAGACCTATCCATAAACAGGGCTTAATCCATGTCCCATTAACAGATCAAGAGATTCTTGTTAAACAAACAACACCCCCCCCCCAATAGTATTCAGTGTCATGTCTTTAGGGGTTAATATTCACTGTCTTCATTGGAAAACCGTGTAAAATATAAATCTAGTAACTGGTGGTACCTCATTCAACAGCCATGACTTCACTCAAACATTTGCTGTATCTATTGATCAATCTTGAACATAGCCATTTTGGCCCATTCCTCTTCACAGAACTGCTTCAATTCATTGACATTTCGGGGCTCTCTTGCATGAACTGCTTGTTTCAGGTCATGCCACAATATTTCAGTAGGTTAGGGTCAGTACTTTTGCCATTCCAAAATGTGACATTTCCTCTGCTGCTTCTACTTCTGACAAGGTCTGGCTATTTTCTGAACCACAATGCCAGAAGATGAAAAAACAACTTCTCCATTAAAGGCAGCACTGGCTCAGCCAGCATCTCAAATGAATTCTAAGACATACAGTAGGCCCTGTAAGAAATTCTGAAATATGAATTTCTTTCAACCTCACAAATGCCCTTCAACTTTCTGAACAACCTCTGGAAAACAACTTAAGAGTTGGCAATGAGGTACCTGCATACTACAACACCTGTGATATTATAAGACGGCATCTGCAGAAGTTCCAAATAAAACAATAAAGGCTTCTGCATCTTCCAAATGTGTGAAGACTCCAACTTCCAAATTTCGCCAAGCTGGGAGTTGAAGTTACAAAACGCATGGAAGGTGCCCAGGGTAGGGTTACTCTAACATACCCAGAAGAACACAAGAAACCAAGTGCAGAGGGGCACAAACCTTCAGCATTGGCTCTGAAAATATCCAGGTGCTGAACAGATACGCAATCAACAGAACATCAAGCTCTGGCCCGCCTGAATGCGGTGAGCTAGCTATAAGATTGCTTTTTCCTTTTCCAGCTAATGTCTTACCTTGGTCTTGATAAAGATGTGGCGATGGTGGTGGTGGAGGATGCTGATGAATGAACTGTGGTGGTATTTCTCCTGTTCCTGGAACTGGAGGGTACACAGGATGAGGTGGATGGGGAAGCAAAGCATGGTGGGGGTGAATATAATGGGGCACATGTGGAGGAGGTGGATGCATGGAGGGGTGGAATTCAGTAGAGTGTGGCATAACTATGACCTTCCGAACTCCATTCTCTTCGACCACCTGCAACAGAAAGTGAAAAAGAGCTATTTTTGTTTTTTTCAAGCTAATATACAGTTCTAATGCTTTGAATTTTTCTACTGTTACTTACTGTTTTAATTTGGGTACCAGGCATTAAACATACACACACACAGCTCATCCTGAACACTAAGACTGCTAATCACTCCTCAGATTAATAAGCAGATGCAACAGAACCAACGCAGTTTATACCCCAAGCAAGATGCACACAACCTACTACCTTTTGCTATCTCTCAGCTCTGAATGCTGAAGTCAGAAAAAAATGAAGCACAAGTCAAAACTCAGATTTATTCTTTTTTTTGTTTAAGTAGATGGGTACTAAATATGCATAGTAGTCTTCCCTAATCTGGAACCCTTCAGTTGAGCTGGGATTGCAGCTCCCTAGAACTGCCATTCAATACGGCTGGGAGAAAACAGCTATAAGCTGATGCATTGTTGTGACTTTCTTTGTGAGCTGCAACTAAAGCTTACTGACTACAAACTCTGGGAACTGCAGTCTGGCTTTGGGAAGGAAGAGAGATACTTCAGCAAAGACAAGATTAATTCAACTGTGCACCTTATACAACAAGTATGTAAGCAAAGAGAAGGAAATCATGGGTTTAGTGTGATTTATCATAAACCCTAATGTGAAGTAAAGGATGGATTATACACTCAAAAGTAATTCTACTGTTGGCATGTAACACAGTAATAATACAAGAAGGATCTTCCTATCAACACTTCACTTCTTTAACAACAATTAACTGAAAGTGTCCTATTGGCCACCAACAAAATCTAGACAGCTTATACAAAGGATAAAGAATGTTACAATTTGACAAATCAAATATTTTATTCTGTAAGTTCCCTTGATAAATTATTCTGCTTGAAACTTGTTTAATTTAGCCAGTCTGTTCTCACATTTCCTAGTCAGCTAAACAGGACTTGGGAGAGGTTTGGCCCCATTCAGTATTCCAAGCACATGCACAACTACAGCTTCTCAATTCAAGGCAAGTCAGACTAGATGGGAAACCATTATCCTCCAAAGGAGAAAGAAAAAAAAAAGGTTCCAAGTCACAGATTATTGTTAGAAGTGTGCTTTGTGATTACATTATAACTTAATTGCATTTAACTTATGGTCTTCCCATTTCAACATTTAAAAACATGATTTCCTTCCTCATCCATAATATATATACAAAGCACAGGCATGCACAGTGAAAGATATTTATGTCATATGCTGCAATATAATCCCTGAAAAGAAATGCATGAAATGTATTATTAAATGTCCTGGTTCTAAAGATTGGGTTTTGCTCTCACAATGCTTTAATCCAGTACCACCGAATGATTTTGCCGACGAACTGTTCAGAAAGTAATGGCCTAAGCATTCTTGCCCATTCACTAGCAACAGATTTTTCTTGGATTAATTCAGAATTAAAAACAGTGGCTGCTAACACAGCCATGTAGCCAACAAATTACAGATCCTGGGGCCTATGGGCAATGGCAACCAACTAAAATAAATTAAAATATGGAAAACGGCAAAAGTCCCATGAGATGTCAGTAATCTCTCACCAAATTCCTGAAATTTTGACATTCTGGCCCAAGATCTTGTGAGATTCTAGGATGAGATTACCAAAATTGTATAATATTACAAAATTTCAAATGGTGGTTTGGGAGAAAGTATCTGAGCTATTTCACAAGATTTTGGATGGTGTCTGGAGCATCATCTCGTCTCGTCTCAGGTCAGAAATGCAGGAACTAGAAAAGGGGAAATTATTAATCTAAATTTAAAAAATTGAAAACTTTAATAAAAGTATAAATTGATATAATTCTTGCCCAATGCAATGTCTGGAGCCTGAAAAGCTTGCCAATTCCTAGACCAGAAGGCTCAGATGCCTTCTTCTCCAGCTGCCAACATTGCACTTTACATAGGAAGGAGGGAGGACGGAAGAGTCTATTTTATTTTATAGAGTTTATTTTATAGAAAATAAACATGTAAGTGTTCTTGAGAAAATGCTAAGATTTCTCCTGAAGATGCTTCAACTTGGTTTATTTCCTACTTAATAAAACACACATTAACTTTGGGATAAAGGATACGCTTAGAAGCTTCTCCAACCTTGATCTCTCAAAATTTCTATCCAGTATGGCTAATTCCAATACTTTTGGAGTCTCTAAATTAGGACAGGCTGATTGGCTATTATGAAAAAGGAGAAAGGTGAATCAGCAGAAGATATGAACCACTTCAAGTTCCTGTTCGCTGAAGCCTTGGTCTCGCTATGAAGGCAGAAGGAGAAAATCTTTCTCATAGGGATTTTCTTTTTTTGTCGAAACCATGGACATTGTGATTCTGATGAGTACGGAACATTATAAGCCTGATACTGAAATTCAAGGCCTTCTCAAAGATTCCCTTTGAGATTCAAAAAGAAATGATAAGATGGCTCCAGAGGTGGCTGACTCAGCTCCACTGAAGCTCAGCATTCAGACAAGAATGCTTCTGAGTCACTCATGCCAATCAGAAGTTCCATCAAAGCTGTGAATGTTCAAGAGCTAATGCTGTGTACAACAGCAGTGAAAGGTCACAGAAGAATCTAAGAAATCTGAAGTAACCAGCAACAGCTGCCTATGGCTCTTGTCAACAGCAAGAAACAATTTGTGCAAGAGATAGATACCCAAGGTTATAGGAAAAATTGTTGAAGTTGCAAAAGGCATTAAAAAGGCACATGAAAAGACAACTTTTCAGAGTAAGGATAGTACACTCCTTAGAGCACCACTTCAGTTGCTATTCTTTTAGCCAGCAACAGACTGTTGAAAAGGCTAGAATCATGGCCAACACGTTAAACAGAAGAATGTAAGATCAACTGAATATCTGAAAACCCTTGGCTCTCTGAAATCACAGGTGATAAACAGTTTCGTGCAATGTTGAGTCTTTCTCTAGTTTTCTCTTCCTTTCTTTGACCTGGCCTATTCACAAGCACCAAGACTATGAAGAAGAAGATGAACTGATCTACAGCAAGACTAGATAATAGAATATATGCTCATCCCAACAAGAATATTAGCTTTAGTGAAACAGAATAAAATACATCCTACTTCAGCTTCTAGCTGAGGCTCTTAACAAATACTTGGTTTTGGATTGGATTCTGAACTAAGCTCCAGGTGTTGGACTGCTATCAAACAAAAAGTATGAAAAATGTGTCCCAATCTCAATTTTTTCTCAAGTTTTAAGCCATTCTGGTTTGTATTCTTTCTCTCTCTCTCTTTTATATATACTCAAACAACCTTTTGAGCGTTAGCCACAAGGTGGTGTTTGATCTGTATTTAGATCAATGTTTCCAAATCCTGCATTAAAGTTGACCTTAAATTTTACAGCTAACAATTGTACACACGCTGTTCTGCTATTTATCATTAAAGAATAATAATTTAATTACAATTTATAAAGAGCAGTGGGAACAAGAACTCATATATCAGCTGCAAGGTGCTCCTGATTTCCAATATGTCATGACTCCTGAAGCTTTTTCTCTAACATCTGGCTCTGGCTATGAGGGCAAACTGATGGCCCTACAGCACTACTAGAGACTGATACAGTATCCGGATCACTATCCTCAAACTGAAAACTAAAGGATGAGACATTACAAGCCTTTTCTAAAACCAACCCTACACCATATAAGCCAGCATTTGTAGGTTATTTTGGGCCCAAATGCATGACTGGGTTATAGCTGCAGATTTAAGATTTCTTAAAGAATCACTTTTTAAGGAACCAGTAATTGAAGCAATAATGCATGGACTCTTCTGTCTCTACTGTTCTCAAGCCTACAGATTGCTGACCCATAACTTCTTGAACTTCCTTGCTATAAATCCTGCTTTTGCCTGGCATAACAGACGTTATGCTTGGTGTCTGATCTTTAGTTCCATGGTCCATATACCTTAATTTGTAGCCTGTATAACACAGCACCCTTGGTTGTCAGGCTGAATGTTCACTTTAAGATTACAAAAAAATAAAAATATGGGAGCCTACATGTGACCAGAGGGATGAGATAAAGGAAAAGAGGAGAGTTTTGTCCCACTTGTTATCCTTGTTACCTTTATGGATCATAAAGAGGGGAAAACTCCCACCATCCACTTGGAAAATCTCTCTTTTAAAAAAGCATTCAAAGGATCTGAATGATTACCTGAGATACATAGCCAGGAGGCACAAATATTGGAGGGACAGAACCATTTGGTGACATCATAGGAACATGTGCTGGACCTGAAAGGAAACCAAGCAACAGTGTTTCATGACTCCTTACAGAGTACTGAAGCAAGTACATTCACAGTTGGACAAATATAATCACTAAATGGCTTTCATGCACAGGCACACTCATTTCATTCTTCTGTCAAATTGTATAGTATAGCAAAAATGGGGAATGAGGCCAAATGCAGAAGGATACAAATTTTTGGCTGGATATCTGCTATGCTGTTGAAAGTCTCACCGAAAGAGGTAAGTCCAGACAATTGTTTTTTTTAAAAAACTGGTGACCTCTAGAAAAATGTTCGTGACTTCTTTAAAGACAAGTGCTTTATAAAGTCTGAGACTGGCACAGGAGGCTATAAAAAGTACAGTGGACTCTTGTACTGTTTCTGTTTGATGATGCCCCAGATTGCTTTTTAGGTACTCAGGAAAGACAGGCATTTTGAAGTTTAGCCTCCCGAGGTAAGTCTTTATTTCTGTCACATTCAGACTAAGCATTATTTAAACTGGACATCTCTAGAAGCAATACCAAATAGGTAAGGTATGTTTTGGCTCTTGCTTGAAAACTTCAGAAAAAAATCTCCCCCCCCCCCCTCTTTCTGCATTCTGGTGGCTCAAGAGCTGGTAGTAGCTCACTAAGTCCAGGCACCAGAAAAACAAGGCCCTGTGGTTCCTTCTCACTTGGTGCGTTCTACATCATCCATACTAGACAAAAAAAAAAAGGGGGGGGTCTTTCATTAGGTACTGGAGGGGAAGTTTTATATAAATATAACTAAAACTTGTCTTGCTATCCAACCATGGAAGACTTGCTGAATTCTAGGAACAGAATCATATTCTTTGATGGAGCAGCTTTGACTGGAGGTAAAAAGAAAGCAAGTGGTTTGACTCTGGAGCTGGTACATAACTATTTACTTAGGATAAATTGTTAAACTGTCATACTGTATTTTTATTTAATACCTATCTTTTCTGTAAACCACTCAAGAGTCATTTTTTAACAAGATGGGTGATGACAAATTTGGTGTGTGTGTGTGTGTGTGTATAAAAAGTTCCTTAAGGCATACTTTTTCTGATGCTTCAACCACAGCCTGGGAGAGTTACTAAAGACTCTTATAGCCCTCCCACTTCCTCTAGCATATCAGAAACTGACCAAGAATGGGGTTCATGGGAAAATGCCCAGTAAAACATCCCCTAATGACATCAGACTAGATGAGTTTTGACCATGCTTGGCTTATGACCATTCAGAATGCAGAAGTTGAGGAAAGTTTTCATCAGTCAGATGACATTGTCATTTTGAGATCTTTACCAAAAACCCTCATCTTTCCTTGTGGTCTATTACAGTGGTACCTCTACTTACGAACGCCCCTACTTAGGAAAATTTCGAGATATGAT